TGACGGGGATTCGAACCCGCGACCCTCAGATTGCGAGTCGAGCGCCCTAACAACCTGGCCATGCCGGGCCAACTTACTTTGTGACAAAATCACTGACGACATTCAAAGACATCTTAAATTTAAAATCTTGATGTCCTTCAGAAGTTTGATTAATATGCATTCACACATTCAGAATGTCCATGGAAGTGGTGTAAACAATAATAAATCTATCCATAAGAATAATCACAGGTGTGGTATTTTTTTGGCTCGTGGGTTTGCCTAACAGAAGTCAGTTGATTTAGGGCCTGCTATCTGGAGATTTAAGAAAATCGAGTCACGGAGTGTGTTTTACGTTTCTCTCCGAACTCTTGAGTTCGTCACACAGAAAGAGACATTCAAATGCACAAATCCAATATCTTTATTGCACACGAGAACAAAACAAAACCCAACACAAAATACAAGTGGAAGTGTGGCTAGTAGATATGTTAAACTTGCAAGTGAGAGATGTAAAAAAACTTTTAATAAGTTCTTTTACCAGTTAAGTGTACTTGCTTTTCGTAAGCTACACTAAAATTAAGATCAAATAAAAAATAATACCAACAAATTGCGTTGCAATAAAATACGAATTCAAATGTTTAAACTGAGCGTTAAGTTTGTTCGTTCGTTATGCGCAAAGCTACACGATAGACTATCTGTGCTCTGCCCACCACGAGTATCGAAACTCAGTTTCTAGCGTTATAAGTCCGCAGACATACCTCTGTGCCACTGGGAGGCTTGAACGTTAAGCAAAATAAAATTAATCTTTCTCAAGATGCTATATCCAACAGAATGCTACAATAAATTCAGTAATATACGTTAAATCTAAATTAAAACCCCAGAAGGTCCTCAGAATACCTTAAGTTTTTAAGATCTAAACCTAAAGTATCTTTATCTGTGGCAAACCTGGTTTTATATACAACAAGAGTGTTTGTTTGTTTTGGAATTTCGCGCAAAGCTACACGAGGGCTGTCTGCGCTAGCCGTCCCTAATTTTGCAGTGTAAGACTAGAGGGGAAGGCAGCTAGTCATCACCACCCACCGCCAACTCTTGGGCTATCTTTTACCAACGAATAGTGGAATTGACCGTCACATTATAACGCCCCCACGGCTGAAAGGGCGAGCATGTTTGGTTGGACGGAGATTCGAACCCGCGACCCACAGATTGCGAGTCGTGCACCCTAACCACCTGGCTATGCCGTACCCAACAAGAGAGAATCTTCAGTAGCCACGGCACTTGAAATTCTTTTAGGCGGAATTTGAGTAAATTAATCTGTGAGAACTTTTTCTTCTCTTTTTATTAGCGCATATACCCGATTCGATTTTTTTTTACTCATCAGGATCTCTACCAGCCTACCCTCAAACTAAAATTCTTTTCTATGAGACCTTGTGCATGGTCAAATACATCAATCGAAAGGGTTTGACCTGCTGTGTCCAAAACTATAATTAGATCTCAAATCAGTCAAGAGATGATGGAACTGTGAGCTAAAAGTAAAGGCCAGAATATTGTCTAACTCTTAAGTAAGTCATTGCACCTTTGAATGGTCTAGAAGGTTAACAAGTATTAAAATCCCCTAAATTAAGTATTACATAAGTACTGTACTGCAGCTACTTTCAAATCATGTATATAATGATACAGTATTCAGTTGAAGAACTGTATAACATAGCTCTACTGTATGCTCTGCCAGAACGCTCAGACTACTGCCAGATTGTATGCTGAATGGTTAGTTGCTGTTCTTGGCCTGCCTGTATGGCGTCTAAATATAAGTGAGTACATAGTACACAGCCACAGAAACACATTCCCTACCACCTGATGTATAGGATGATCTTCATCTGAGAACATTGATAATTAAGTTACATTATTAGCATTTCTCACAGCTATTGATTGTCTGCCTCCATTTTCTAATACTGTTGGGATATTTACTTCATCTACATTTATGCCTATAACTGATTTTGTAGTGGAGCCATTTTGGTAAGTTTTTGTTTTAAAGTGTTTCAATTGTTATTTCATACATCTTCACGATTACATTTTTGGTGTATGATGCAAATCAATGAAAGTTGATTCAAAGGATGTGACCTTGAATGACCAGGTCGAAGTGGCCCATAACACCTCATTCCATATTCTTTTCTGGATTATTTGCCTGTAAGTGGACTTCTGAATCACCTGGTTTATTTCCTGACAATTATATTACTATACTTTTCTCAATTATTTGACTGTAAGTGGACTTCTGAATCACCTGGTTTATTTCCTGACAATTATATTACTATACTTTTCTCAATTATTTGACTGTAAGTGGACTTCTGAATCACCTGGTTTATTTCCTGACAATTATATTACTATACTTCTTTTCTGGATAATTAATTTATATATAAAAAACATACTTATGTAGTTTACTTACGTAAATATCATGTATTGCTTCTCAAGGATAGGCTCATGGAGTTCGTCTCCCTCCCAGGCACTTTAAAAATCCAGATGGAAAGACAAGAAATACCCTCTACAAGTACTGCTTCCGGTAAATCCAGCTCTACTTCTCCGGCTACTGAAACATCAACAACAATAAAACCCTTCTCCTCAAGTTCCACAAGCTCTTCGAGCATTTCTACAAAGGAGGTTGTTATGACCACAGTGGTTCCCAAGAAAACTACAACTCTTGAAACTACAGTATTGATTACATCAACTGAGAACCGAGAAACCACTACAGAACAAAGAGAGAAGAACAATAAACAAAAGAAGCTGCATTCTCCAGGAACAATGGGAGGGGTTGCTATAGCAATGCTGTTAATTGGCATTGGGCTGGGTGCAGGAGGAACCCTCACTAAGTTCATATTTTCTAGCAGAGGCAGCAGAGATTCATATAGCTGATGAACTTATGATAAAGGAAGAATATATTTTACTGGATGGAGAAAATTGTACCTAATTAAAGATTGTTATTATTCTTTAACTGGGAATTGTATACATTGTATGAAAAATTAGGACCTAATAATAATAATAATACTTGTTTCTTGTTTGAGTTGCTTATTTCTGTTTTGTAAAGCCTATTGGTTAATTACTCCCAGCCTATTGAGTCAATTTTAAACAATCATGGCAGGTTGATGCTTTAGACAATGTTGAATATTCTAAACGGATTCACGGTCAAAGTATGAAAGTTGCTGGATTGTTTCTCAAACAACCATGCTTTTCTCATAGTCAATGAGATGTAGGGTGTTCAAGGGTGGAATATCCTCAAAATCTTTATTTATTGGTAGATGGAAAGCAAACTGTAAATGTTGTTTATGAAGAAGCTTTGTTATAATTTTAAAACTTTGAGATAAAGTTTATGTTCAAGTTATTACTTTGAAATATATGATTGCTGTTAAACTTACGGGTACTTCAGCTTGTAAAATATATAAAAATCAGCATGTCTTCTTAGGGGAGGGGGGGGTCAAAATTGAAGTTAACACAGAATATTTTCCATAGTTCATAGTGTTGACTTACTTACAAATTTTGGTTAAGATTGGCCCAATTGGCTCGGAGGAGTTAGAATACAAAAAACAAAAAAAAACATGTTTCTTCTTTATATATGCATAGATTTCACCTTTTGAAAAGCTTTACGTAACTCTTGAGAAGTAATATTTTGCCATTTAATTTCAAAAAACAATTATATTGTTAAAACTTCAATAACAGAAAAAGAATACAATTAACCTGATAAACCTCCCAATGATACAAGATTCAACATTATTTGATAGCATACTGTTATCCATAACCACTAAGTTATATACCTATAACAGTTTTAGAAAGTAATTTTTCTTTATAATATTCTTCTAAATCTGACCATTAAATATGAAAAAAATTAATGCATTAACACCATCAATTCTCTTAACAATCTTAAACACCTCAACCAGATCCCCTCTAACTCTTTTTTTTTTCCAAGAGAAAACAAGTTCAAAGATATGTATAATTATATGCAGACTTTTCTCTACATTAAGATACTTTTATTTTGGAGCTTTCGATCCTCTTACTGGAGCCTTCATTGGGCAACAATGTACTGAGCAATGCTAATTCGTTTTTCTGAGGAATGCTGCTTTAACTTAGGTATCTAGGCAATAATCATAACAATAACTGACATCTGGTACTAAAGTTATTAACCATATAGAAATTATGATGAATTTAGAAGATAAACAAGTTCAGAGATCTTAACCTATCATTGTATGACAACCTTTTAATTCCAGATATTATCTTGTTAGCCATTTCCAACAACTTAATCTTCTTTCTAAGGTATCTAGCCTAAGACTGAACACAATACTCCAAATGTGGCCTAACCAATGACATTATAACCTCTTTACACTCGTATTCAGAATTTCTGTAGATACAACCTAAAATCCTATTTATTGCTTAGGGCTTAAGAGACTGATCAACCAGAACACCAAGATTTTTTCTTCAATAAAATGTTAAAGTTATTCCCATCAAAATGTTCATTTAAGTTGATGATTACCTTTGACCACGGGCTATTTTAAGAAATTTTCAGAGCTACACAAACCATTTTTAACAAAACTTAAGCATACGTATTCTTATTTTTATTGGAGTGGATTTTTAAAAAAAATTGTGTTCTCGGGAAAAATTAAACAATTCATATAAAAATCAAGTAGCAAGACATTACGATAGGACTTGCAGCAGAAACAAACCGTATCCTAGACATATTGTAAGCTTGATTACTTTAATAGTTAAATAATTATTAACAGAGCTATGACTGACATTAGATAAAATATATTTGTGACATGCTGCAACATATCATTTTATAATATAAGCACAGTGTTTTGCCAGCAACCGTATACTATTAAAAGCTGTTTCTGTTGCCTTATATTTGAAAACAAATAACTTTTCTGAAATACATAATAGATAACATTACCTAATACTTCAGTTTAATACCACACAGAGATCTGACTGCATTTATATTATTAAAAGTTGTTTCTGTTGCTTTATATTTGAAAAATAGCTTATAACTTTCAATAATTTAAAATTTTTTAGTTACAGCACAACTAGGTCAGAAAGACTAAAATAATTAATTCAGTTTTTATTTGGCACACTTTACAGAACATTTATACGTAATGTACAGCGTGAATAAACAACAAATGTTAAATACTTTAAAAATGTAAAAAAAAAAACGCATTTATTAATAATAACTTAACCACCTGTGTATAATTGTTCAAACAAAGGAAAATATAACAAATAATATATTTTTTTCCTGTAAATTCATATAACTTAATATAAAAACAATAAAACCTCAGTTACTCAATACCATCAGCCAATCAAACCTTCCAAAGTGTTCTGTGCTATCTTGAATGTACACAGTATCTATATACAACAGACATCAACATTAGTTTACTGCTTGAGAAAAAAAAGAACTTACATTTGTAACCTACTTGTATCTAAAATGAACACTGCTGAATGTACGTTAACAACAAGTAAAACATATGCTAGTCTTATATTTTTCTACTGTTATTCTACCACATAAAGTGTTTATATATGTAACCTCATCATTTTTACATTATCTCCATAGTGACCAATTAAGGTTTAGCTGAATTTTGAACAGAGAAAACAAATTACCTTTTAAAGAAAAAATAAAATTAATATAATTGTGAATAAATAGAACAAAACCTAATATTAAGTAAATTTTATCCTCTTGTGATACTTGTCAACCAAAATAAAGGTAACAAAATACAGAAAGAAATAATAACACACTGGTAGTTAGTAGAGATGAACCATAATGTATTAGGACAGACAAGCTGAATGTGAACAAGAACTTAAAATAGTATGTTTTTATTACATTTGGTATATTATAACGATAAAACTTGTCAGGTTTTTTTAACATTTCTAAAGACTCAGAATTTCTTTCGATATAAATCACACGAAAACATTTCAGCTCATATCTCACTTAAATTTTACCTGATTCCAATGAACACACAATTATAGTTTCAAGTATTAGCAACGTTTAAATTAACGTTTATTTAGTCATTCACAATGTTTTATGTATACACTGGCTATAGAATCCTATGTACCGCCAACCAAAGTAATTTATTAATTTTTTGTTTTATTTCAACACAAGCAAGCCAGTGAGACCAACGAAATTAATTTCTTACTTAACACAATTTGAAGAGCATTTTATTTAAAATATGAAGCTTTTATTACTTTAGTTTGTCACTTGACAGAGCAGTGCTACTCCCTTTTGGATCCAGTACTCTTGAGGACGATCCGACGGCAGGTGAATGGCAACCACAAAATTGGTGGAGTGCCCTAGAATAAAACGAAAACAGCAATTAACATTAACTTACGTAAATGTTACTCCAAAATAAACTTTTAAACTAAGAATCTATAAATATGATTTCGTTGCTTTTAGCAAGTTAAAAGGTAATTCTTTATTCACCCACAGTAACATAAGTTCTCTGAATCCATACAGATATCATTAACCACCTAAACAAATTTGAAATGCATAGGTATACAGTTGTTTAGGATTTTAGTTTCAGTGTAAGATAAGCATTTAAAATTTTCATATAAAACTGAATCCATTTTTTATTATTATTAACAAAACGTTTTAGAAATTACATTCGGCTCCACATGAAGTTCAATATTTAGGTAAAAGCATCAACCATCCAAAGTCATTTTCAGTTGTAACATGGAAAACTAATGCTTCATAACACCAAATAGTGCAATCTACTAAATGTGCATAATTACACCAGAGTAGCATGTTAATTAAGATTAACAAGATTTTGGTTTAACAATTTAAATATAATCAATAGTTTGGTTTGAATTTTTCACAAAGCTACATGAGAGCTATCTGCATTAGCTGCCCCTATCTTAGCAGTGATAGACTAGAAGGAAGGCAGCTAGTCAACACTACCTACTTCCAACTTTTGGGCTACTCTTTTACTAATGAATAGTGGGATTGACCATCACTTATAATGCCCCCATTGCTGAAAGGGTGAACATGTTTGGTGTGTGTAGGGGATTTGAACCCATGACACTCAGATTGTGAGTCAAGTGGCCTGGCCTGGTGGTTAGGAACCCATGATCCTCAGAATGTGAGTAGAGTGCCCTAACCACCAGGCCATGCCAAACCTATAACAACAGACTAATGCAATAAAATCTAAAAAGGAAATAGTGTGGATTCAATATAATTTTCAGAAAAGCTTTCTTTCAAGTTGTTCTAAGAAGGAACAATGGTGATTAATTTTTTGTATTTTGGCAGTGTTTTATTTTGTGACCATCTATCTCCAATGTACTCATTTATGAATACAAACCCGTGGTTGATAGGGTACCAGCTCTTTCAGCAGTCTTGTACAGTGGAGCAACGTAATTCTGAGGATCAGGTTCAAATTTCATCACTGGTTCCAGCTGTAGAACAGGCAAGGATGGGTTCATCTGGCCTTGAAGTGGATCACAAAGCTTCATAAATTTAGTGTCAAAACGAGCAGCCTCCAGATAAAGCCCATGGATTAGAACTCCATCTTCAGGTGCAGTTAACTTGGATAAAGACAAAATGAAGCAATGATAACTTTGTATTTATTTAAGTAAATAATAAACAATTTTTTCATCCAACATTTCCTCATCAAATAAAACTAGTTTAAATGACCCACATGTCAGCATACCCCATAAAGAGATTAAATTCCTAAGCCTAAATCCTGAATTACAGACCACTCTTGACATGGTAACCCACCTGGATGCTTATAAGTAATAATAACTCTAATAGATAGTCAGGTAATTTATATATGAGATTTAGTCTTAGTTTGAAAATAATCTTTCTTACCTCATGATTGGGCAGAACATTTGAATTACTTTGTGAGCGTGCCAGAGTAAGCTCTTCCTGATGTAAGTAGTGAGGAAGAACTTTAAACCTAAAGCTGAGCTGATCAACAGGAAGATTGTACTTCCTTGCATGGTTTTGAAGGGTGCCAGTCAAGAACCCTAAAACAGAACAATTCATGACCATATCAAACTAGGTAAATGTTTTCTTAATAATGTTTTAATTCAGATACCTTGGTTCTAATGATGTATATGGAAATTATTCAACTAAGTTACTGAATTATATTTCTTATAAAACAAAGTATACACCCACATCTGAAAGATTATTTAAAAAAACATTTTCAAAAATATTCACACACACTTCTTTACCAATTTTGTTAAGGCAAATACTTAAATATTACTGAACACAAATAACAGAAAACAATGTTAATTTAGGCACATAACATAGCAAAAACATACATATCTTGTTATGTGGATAAACTTGTAGGCTGACTGTAAAAGCTGAGGTAATGCAACCACTAAATATTTCTCTGTATACTAACAAAATAATCATGTGTTTACTTTTGTTGGTGTAGTTTCCTGATTTAGATGCCTACATCTATCTGTGCTAGAAAAGAAATTGTTTACCTTGAGGAAAAAAGAAGCCAGATAGCCAGTAAGACTTTGGCTGGCCTGTTGTCATCCATACCTATTTGTATACATAATGTAAAATGTGAATGTATGATAAATGAGAAACTACAGTTTGAAATATGTTCTAATATATATATATATTTTAAAGTTCTCACAGTTCTACAAACGATTTCTAAAGTTGTATTTATAGGACAGTTTAATAGTTTGTTGTCTCATACTTAGATCTTTCATTCTTTAATCATATTTAAGTTGGAGCACCAAGATCTATTGATCCTTTATCGGTTTTTGTGTCAGGCTTATGTACTATTTACATATACTCGTATAAAAATCTGAAACAGAAAAACGTTAAAAGGAATTAGGACATTGCTCTGAGGTGACCAGATTTTTAGAATTTCAATGTACAAACCCAACCCACTCGTAAGCAAGATAAAGGCCCTTATATTTTTTTAACTTTTCTTACAAGTGCTTTGTTTTAACTATCATACTTGTTTCATTGTTTCTTCAACTTCTCACTAGGATGGAACAGTATTTCCTAGACCCAAATACGACACATGTGTTGTTACATTTTATGCTTAATGTTCATTATAATTACCATTCTCCATTCAAAGCAAGGGTACACCTGGAACATATTAATGCAGTTTTTTTAATCAATTGATGTCTTTTGAACAAGGGTGTACAAATGTGATAGCTAGGTAATCTTAATAGTTACAAAAGTGCCTTACTAGTATTAAGAATGGGATTAGTCCTTTAATTGAAATAGTAGAGTGCACATTTGACTTACAAAACATACATCCTAGGTCATGCAAGATTACCATTTAAAAAATTGTGTCCTAGGTGGAGCCACCCTACAACTTTAAGATTTTTAAAAAGGATGGAATGTGCTTACCATGTAGTTTCAATACTTACAAAATGCTTTACTAACAGTAGCTCTCTTGGGTTTTAATCCCAGGAGATGTAATTAAATTTCACATTACTAACGAGTTTTTTTTTAGAAGTCATAAATGTAAGTTGAAACCCAGAGGTAATATTAAGTTGAATAATAGCAGAGAGTTAACAAAATTCTGCCTTTTCTTTAAGGGATAAGCTTAATTTTTTTTTAGAGAAAATAAGAATACAAATTAAACTACAAAAGAAACAGTGACTGAAAAAATTAATATATTTCTTCCTTTTTTTTTTGAAGGACAACTATATACACTGGGAACTTTATATAAAACTTTATAGTTTGTTAAAATTTACGTATCTTTCTATTTTAAACATAGTAAGTTTGAAGGCAGTACCAGTAGTATTCAGTTTGTATAATATAACTAAAAAACTGGATTACATTAAATCTTTAAGATCTTTAGATGCTTAATCAACTACGAAAAACATTTATAAAATTTATTTTAAAAGCATAATTGTAAGATTTACAAATAGTTAATTTGTTAAAGTATTATAAGTAGTTACTGGTTATGTCCCTTTTCTCCCTTACGCTACTATTTGAGTTGGTTTATGTTGCTGCCTTTTACACGTTATAAATACAACTCACTTTATTCTTTTATTTAAGATCATAATTGCGATTATTTATATAATGATTACACAGTGCTTGTTAAGTAATGCAAGTATTTTATCTGAAACAGTATTAAACAGTTTTGTTTGAAAATGTAATAACAGCATTTAACTTTAATTATGATTGCATTTTTTAAAAATATAATTTCATGACTGTAAAATAAGACTTACAATAGATTTTTTTCATATAACAACACGAAAATTCTTATTAATATAACTTCAGTTTAAATTCTGAATATACAATAAAAAATATGCATGCACAAAATTTGGTAAAATGTATATTCAGTACAGCGAACATGATGTTCTATTCTTAATAATAACTAATATACAATTTTAATCCCTGATACTTGTTTAAATAGAGATAATGTTTCATTGGATACAAAAAAATGGGTTTGTAACTAACATGAATGAATTCAATTCTCAACTCCAGATCTTTCACCCAGCTGGCTAAAGACTTTAGAGATGGGTATGCAACTTTACCCCACTGCTTAGGGAACTGAAAATATACAGTAGAATGTAAATAAATATGTCTTCTTTAGCAGCTTCAAAGACTTTACAAAATTGTTAACAAATTATACAAAAAAAAAGTCTGTGTGAAAAAAAATATGATTACTCATTGCATCAGTTTTAATTAATTAATATTAACATCCAACCAAAGCAAACTAGCTACTTAGACCAATATTTAATTAACCCAGTTATGCATATAGCTAATTGCATAGACTATTCTTATGTTCTTTCTTCTAAAGATTAGCATGGTACCTTTGCCATTAACAATATTTTAAGACAGTTCTGGATTGAATTTAAAGCTATTTGATAATAATTACTGAGCCCTACAAATTTATTTTATTTCTTTAATATAACAGAAGATAAATACAGTAGACAAATGAAGATTCAGAATTCATTTTGTTATGACTATATACTTTAACTATAGAATGTAAATTTCCTAAATTTCACTGTTCAAAAATATGTAAGTTCTATGCTCAAGAAGTCAAAGGATTCATTGGTTCACCTGGTTATTCAAGAAAGCCTGATATATATGTTCCAGGTCTTCATTCATCACTAAAAACCCTTTAATCGCCTTCTGTAAAGACTGCAAGGATCCCTAGAACATAATATATGAAGTTGTCATATTTAAAATTTTCTAGCCTATTTCAGTACATCACCCAATCTACGCTGTGTAATTCAACAATCAAACCTTGTAGAGTGCTATTACACACATATTATGATTATAGGTACTATACTGCTAGCTACAGAAATTGAACAGTATTAATAATATGCTCATTAAATATTATATTGAATTGTCATGATATGCTGATTGTTGTTGACCTTTTTCACATAATTAAACTAATACTCTGGTTGCATGACTGCAAAATGTCTACATTCTCAGATATTCCTTCCTTGATTTCAAAGATAATGTCACAGTTCAGTCAGCTAATATATGTGGTGGTGTGATTCTTTATTCTTCAATGAGACTAGATGCCTACTTCTTATTATAAGCATCTGTACCACTATTGTTTTCACACCCTCCACTTGTGCACAAAACCATAAATTATAACCAGACAGATATGTTTCTTACCTTGACAACTTTAAGCATCTGTACCACTATTGTTTTCACACCCTCCACTTGTGCACAAAACCATGAATTATAACCTGACAGATACGTATCTTGCCTTGACAACTTTAAACATCTATACCATTATTGTTTTCACACTCTCCACTTGTGCACAAAACCATAAATTATAACCCGACAGATACGTTTCTTACCTTGACAACTTTAAGCATCTATACCACTATTGTTTTCACACCCTCCACTTGTGCACAAAACCATAAATTATAACCCGACAGATATGTTTCTTACCTTGACAACTTTAAGCATCTGTACCACTATTGTTTTCACACCCTCCACTTGTGCATAAAACCATAAATTATAACCCGACAGATATGTTTCTTACCTTGACAACTTTAAGAAGTTTGTTGAATCGATCACATTCTTGAATCAGAACAGTTGTTAGAGAATTCACTCTTCCTTTGTCATCAGGCTACAATTTATAAAACAAGGCTATTTAAATGACTTGTAAAACCGATAACACGTGTCTCAAAAGCATAGTCATTCTGTGTTGATTATCCTTTACAATTATTGTATGCATATCACCTGTTAACATACTACAAATGCACTAATTATCACTACATTAGGCAACAAAGGCTACAATGACTGTTGGTTTTGACGTAACTTGTGGCATAAAATATTCTATTTAGTTCCTTAAAATGCATGAGGACTTTTAAAAGTTTTTTAATATAAAATAAAAAGCCTAGCATGGACTGATGGTTAGGGCACTTGCGTGTCAATCTGTGGGTCATGGGTTTGAATCCCATCCCCAAACATGCTCACACTTTCACCTGTGAAGGCATAATAATCAATCTCACTATTCATTGGTAAAGAATAGTCCAAGGGTTAGCAGTGGGTGATGTTGACTAGTAGTAAATAGTCTTTAAGTAGCTTTGTGCAAAATTCATAAACAAACAAACATAAAATAAAATAAAACCCTATCATAGAATTACCTTGAACATTGCATAAAAAATGTGAAAGACATAAATTTTACTGAGAATTTTTCAGACAAGTGTCCAGGAGGTAAATGGAAATCAAATTTAGAAATACAAGTATCATTTTAATTTATAACATATATATATATATATATATATATATTACATAAGTTTCTTGGTGAAGATAAATCTATATAACCTGGCATTACCTTTAACAGATCTTCCAACAGGTCATCAGGATCCAATCTATCCACCAATTTTCTTAAAATAACTTCAGCCAAGTCATACACAATTTCATCAGCAGAACTGCCTGCTGGTGACACTGAAGCTCGTGGCTGAACACTTAGAATAGTGTTAATCAATCTCTGGGACTCTTGACTCTAAAAATAAAAGTAAATTTATTCTGCCAAGTTATACCACTGACATGCAATCTACTGTATCAAAGTTCACAAGGAAATGAATAACAAACTAGCTTTTTAACGTTGTATCACAAAACATTTAAGATTCCCAAGAGACCACACCTTTCTGACAAGTATGAAACAGACACAACTCTTTACAGTGAAAAAACCTTATTATATTTGTGTTAATGTCTAACATGAATAAACACAATAAACAATACAGAAAGATACTAGCTAAATCTAAAAATACCTCATATTTATAGTTTTGATTTTTCGAAAATCCCATTATGAATTATACAGTTAAGTGCTAACAAACCCTATACTTCTCTCTTTGGATAATAACCCCATATAAATTGAGGCATACTTGATGTATTTTTGGTTGGTAATGATGGAGCCTGCTTCTTAAGTTAAAATATACAAAAGTCATACAAACCTTAACTTATGGGGTTAAATACAATGTTTTATAAGAAAAGTATTATTTTAAAAATATGCTTAAATTTTTAAATCCTTTTTTTTTCTTAGAAAAATAATGTTTTCAAATCTATAATAATTGAAAATATTCAATATAAAAACTCTTTGTATAATCCAAAAGCATACTATTACTTTAATAAAAGATAAAAAAAATAATTAAATTAAAGAGAGTATAATCAAGCTATCTTCAAAACATTTGCAATGGTTTTCAATATTTCTTATTTTACTCAAGGGTTGGGTATGGCCTATTGGTTAGTATGCTGAGATTGTGATTCAGAAAGTTCATAGTTTATGCCCCATTACACAAAATGCACTTCAAACTTTGAAGCCGTAGTTGCACAATAGAAATGATGGTTCAATCCTACTCCTCGACTAGATAAGAATAGCCCAAAAGTTGGTGGCGTGTGCTGTTGACTAACTGCCTTCCCTCTAATCTATAATTTCAAAATTAGGGATGGCAATGCACAAATAACCCGTGTATAACTTTGCACAAAATTCAAAAACAAATAAACTTTGGATGTTATATATATACTGATTGAAAAACAGCTCCTGCTTTGAAAAGATTTTATAATTAAGAACCATAAGATACATTCCAATACCTGACAGTTCCTTCTCTTTGTTTTAATGAACTGTGATGAAAACATTTTCATGGAATGAGAGACTGGTACTTATGATATAGAAATTAATAAACAGCCATTTAACTAGGTTCCATCAAGAAATATGTTAATAATGATAATGAGGTCTTCTGCTATTCTTGGAAATATTATTTCCATGGTTGATGAAGTTCAATCTGATGAATATAACTACCCAATATTTCCAAACAATGCAAATTACATCATACACACACACACATCATGTCATACTTCCCAAATATATTACACTTTGTATGGATATCAGAGGTTCTGACAGATCAAAGCTAAGTGGAGTTGATGACCTCAGCCAAGTCAGTTTGATAGAGCTTATCTCTGACCAAGAAAAGCAAATTTCCATACTCAAATAAGCAAGTACAAACACTGTGTTTGTCTAAATAAAAAATATTCTTCATTGAATTAAGAACCACCCTGTGACAAATATCTTTTCAAATCTCCTGTTACTCCACAGACCTTTCTTGTCACTCTTAAGTAAGATCAGTTTTACTTGAGGATACTACATAATATGAAACTTTGAATATCAAACTGGTTAGCCATGAACAAGAAACCTTTAAAATAAAACTGGTTAGCCATGAACAAGAAACCTTTAAAATAAAACTGGTTAGCCATGAACAAGAAACCTTTAAAATAAAACTGGT